TATGTATGTATGTATGTATGTATGTATGTATGTATGTATGCATGTATGAATATGCAGTCATACAGTGAACTTCACCCCACACTCTCCCTTTCACCTCATTCCATGCTTCATGAGCACACGCTCATACATGGCTATAAAGGCATGATAAAATGTTAAGAATAGACAATTGAACAGTGTTGAGTCCCTCATGCTGAGTTCTACCTTTCAGCAAAATTGAGGGCTTCTTTCCGAAAAAAATCTGGCGCTGTCGTGAGGACTGACAGCTCCAAGGTGCATGTCCACCTGTCTCGTGACTTATGGCTGTCCGTTTTGTGCTCATGGCCGATAAAAAGTGGCCTTGCTTGACGTGACAGCGAAGGCCCGGGATAACCGCATGCTGACCGAGACTTTATGAAGCCTTTACTATGCCAGGCTGAACTGTACCGACCCGGCAGGCCGGCCTCCTCGAGGGGCGAAGCATGTTCCACTTTCCCTTTGGATCTCGTCTGTCAGTCTTGTCGCGACCACAGTAAGTCGGCCTGCCCTGTTGACCACGTGAGTGGCGGGCCCTGGAAATGATACTCGCAAAGGAAGGGCCCAAAACGTCATATGATACCATGGCAACCAATGCAGCCTCCGTCTCACAGTCGCATTGGCCAGGCCAAGAGGGGTTCATGGCCGGAGCTATGAACAATGGGCCTGTCCAAAGTCAATTTGTGATGCTACTGCAGCGAGAAAATGGGCAGCTCTGCCAAGGCGTAGCATTGCACATGACATTTGTCAAGTCATTTCTAGTCCATTCACATGAGGCTGTTATGGATATGCTGTTTCAGGCGCAATTGCCGTGCCATGAGTTGGTAATCAGGGCTGCTTTGATAGCCACTGCCGAATATGACTGGATCGGCAGCCCTGAATCTGGGTTCAAATCCCAGTCCGAGAGTGTCGAGATACTAATAGCTTCAGTTGTCACGGTGGCTGCCATGTCTTATCAACCATCGCGTCTGGAACTTATGTATCTGTTTATAATATGTAATTAGAGTTTCGAGACTACCAGTAAATCAGTAATATGAGATGTATTCACCCCATTTCGTTTAAGGTGATGAAGGACTGGTAGTAGAATTTACCCACAATGAGATGAGTAGAGCTGACGTTTCCATTGAATTTCACATTGCCTTACTTTCGTAAAAGTGCTTCTCATCCAGGGTGGACTGCAGTTTCGAACTCGCATCAGTCTTATCAACACACCTAGCGGGAGTCGAACCGTGACAGTTCAGAATGTCAACTTGACACGTTAACCACTCGGTCACATTGCCATGAGTGCCCTATGGTCACAGGGCAGATATGAATGTCAAAGAAGTCCAGGGCTTTTCCTATATCACATTCTTTGGTGGGATTGTCGATGATGCAAACGTTTTTTTGCTATAACAATCGACAGCCGTACTTATTTTTCTTATGTAAGTAGAGTTTCGAGACTACCAGTAAATCTCATATACATCTCATATTACTGATTTACAGCTAGTCTCGAAACTCTACTTACATACAAAAAATAAGTACGGTAGTCGATTGTTATGGCAAAAGAAGTTTGCTGCATCGACAATCCCACCAAAGAATAGTAAATGGGAAAAGGCCAGGCCTTTCTCGACATTCACATCTGCTCTATGATCCCAAGGGCACTCATGGCAATGTGGTCGAGTGGTTAACGTCTGACTGCAGTCAAAATGCACCCATTCTCATAGTGCCTCAGGACTAGATTTCACTTCTGTCCATAATAATTCGAAGAGAATTCACGCTTTTGAAGTGAAATTCTCAGAGCCATGCCACTGAACTATAATACTGACTTCGCCTAGATTCTCTAATTGTTAGGGGGACTATGATTTCGTACGAAAGTGAATGAATAAGAGATTCGTTGATCGACCTCACCAGATGAGTACGGATAAATCTCGTTGTACAGCAGCCGTTTGGCTTTTATACAATATTCATGTTGACACAGTCCACGAGACTTCCTCCCTCGTTTCAGGTGAAAACGTGCTGAGCTTTCGTACATCATATGATGGACATCATCAGAGCCGGGTTTCATTCTTGTAGGAGTATCACGTTAACACTAGGCCAAAAACACATTCCGGCTCTATCTTACTTCTTATACAGACTCAATTAAGCCAAAAGAAAATTCAAAACCTAGACAGATCGATATAGAGTGGTTTGGTTAATTTTCTTTCATACTGGTCCTGTTATTTTTGCTCGATTGTATGAGTATGTATATTTGTGCGTGTTAGCGTCTATATGCAATACGGTCCCTAAATCAGAGTTGTCGAAGTTTTAATCTCAGGTTCTGATCGTCAAGACCTAATGACCCATGAAAATATCTTGACTGAGACTGTGTAGGTCAGTAAACAATTATGGTTGAGATAATGAGATATGAGCTTGTAAGCATGAAAATCAAGTTATGAAACCTTTCAGTCTATGGCCACTAATGTTTAACCCTCCAAAGAAAGGCGAGACTGAGGTTACGTAATCTGACATGTCTGGTTTGGTTGGTGAGCTTATTCTAACATTTTGGACGAATGTGAGTGAAATTAGAACCATCACCGATCAGACAAATTGAGTCGCCTTCTTTTTGACGGCGGTTCACCACCCTATCTCTCTTTCTCTCTTTCTATCTATCAATCAAGCATCAGTAGTTCCTACTCAACATTCTACCACCATTCCTCAAATTCAACGTATTTTCCAAGCTATTAATTTCAATAGCCTCGCTTATTTTTCTTTTTCCCACAAATGTGCCATAATTAGCAAACCTACTAGTTTGAGACCATTCCATTTCATGTCCAGTTTCGGCCACATGTTCGGCCACTTCTGATCGTTGGATCCAGCTTCCCTTTCAAGCATTTTTATGTTCGCCAAAGGTCGGCATGTCTCAACAACATAACATCGTCCACATGAGCAAACAATATTGTAGCAGCCAATTCTCGATAATGAGTCATATTTCTCTCTAAAAGCTCATCCCTCATTAACTTAAACATAATTGTTTACTGACTTAAGCAGTTTCGGCCAAGGCTTTATCTTGGGTCATTAGGCCTTAAGGATCAGAACCTGAGATTTAACCTTTGACAACTCTGATTTAGGAACAGACTTACATATAGACGCTACCACGCGCACATACACATACGCATAGACTCGAGCAAAAGTAACAGAACCAGCTCAATCGAGTCTATGTAAGAAGTAAGAAAGAGCCGGATATTGTTCTTGCCCTAGTATTAACGTGAGACTCTTACAAGAATGAAACCCAGCTCTGATGATGTCGATCATATGATGGACGAAATCTCAGCACGTTTTCACCTGAAACGAGGAAGGATTTCTTGTGGACTGCGTCAACATGAATATCGTATAAAAGCCAAACCGCTGGAGTATAACGAGATTTATCCGTCCTCATCTGGTGAGATCGACCAACGAATCTCTTCTTCATTCACTTTCATACGAAATGAAAGTCCCCCTAACAATGTTATATCAAGATATTCATCGAAACACATTTTCTTTTCGTAACTACCTTACCATCTCCAGCCCAATTAGAACAATGAAGATGTGGGTTCAGAGGCAACTGCCCCATACCCTATACCACACTGCCC